AATTCTACAGAAAAGGGTTATGAAAAAGTGCATATGTCTAGCAGGCAGCCTAAAAACGCAAGTGCTTACTGTGTGAGCTTCGCTTTCTCACGTCATCGCACCAGTGAGCACCACAAGTTCGGTTTCGGTTTCGTACAGTTTCGTACATTCACGGTTTCGTACAGTCACAGTACAGCCCTTGCTGACCACTTCGATGAGGGAAGTGAATAAGTAACCTCCCTATCCCTGAGCCAGAGTAGGCGTGGCATTTGAACATGACACGGAACTGGTTACTCGTAGTATATTTCAGTCCGGGACAACTGTCATCTTGTTCTGTTCAGTCTGGGACAGAACTGTCATCTTGTTCTGTGTTGGACAGAGACACGACAACAATTGTGTCAAGATGAAAATATCTCACCAGAAGCATAGACTTCCTTCAGGTTAAGTTGAAGCATGCAGCCACGCCTACCCGATCTCAGGGATTTTGTGCCCACCATAGTGTCATTATCCCTGCTAACGAAAAGATGTGTGAGGGAACGTGGGGTGAAGCGCCGCCATGCCAGCCTTTTTCACCTATGGTTGAAGACCTAGGATTGTCCCTGCAAGAGGACGAGTGAGCGGGCATCATTGGTGGACAAAGCTCCAATCCGTGCCCTCCGACACACCCTGTCGTTTGCAGGGATAAGACGGTAGATCACCGCTAGTCAGCGATCAGTGTAGAAAAATCACGGCAGTGTTACCGTGAAAAAACATAATTTTGAGCAAAAGCACACCCCAAGTATATCAAATATTAACAAAAATAACATCTTCGCAGTGAAGCTGTTCTAAAATGCCGTATTCCAGAAATCCAACAAGTCATAAGTTCCCCACAGTCCGAAACAAAGCGAAGGCCATGACAACGATTTTGATCACAAATTCATAAAATAGGCCTTTTAAATGAGCTGCGGAAGGGAGAGTCACATTTTTTCAGCCTCTGTTCTGAAATTCACATTCGTGGAACCAGAGCACCTGCTGTTCTCTTTTAAGCGCCATCACATATACCTAAGCCTCAAGGTTGACATTGAACGTGTGGTATCTCTACTATGTCGTGCAGTAATATTAGAGGTATCACGATAAAACATTTTGACAGAAGGAATAAACCTGTTTAAGAGGAAGCGATCAAGATTCCCGTCAGGTCGCAAGTGGCATTTACGCTATATGTTTCACGAAAACGATCCAGGGAGGTAGAACAAGCTTGTGCAGAGGGACAAAGTCACATCCCTTCAAAGGTTGCGCGCGATATGTAATCCGTATCTAAGGGCAGCAAGAGGCGTTGCTACAAAATTGGCGAGGTCCAGACGATAGTGAGGCACAGATGTATGCCCGAAAGAAGACAGTTGATGTGGAATATGCAGCCACACTCACTTCTGCTTTCCGATATGGACGACACGCTATGTGCGCGCGAAGTGGCCCGAACTGAACACTGATCAGCTGCAAATAGGATTCGAGCCTGCGTTGTTTGGATCGACCGAAGTGCACAGGACCCCTTCTAGGAGACGCCAACGGCACCTTTTTTCTGACCAGGGACAGAGTTCGGATAGCTTCGCATGCAGAAAGAACCTGGGCCCCGATTCATCCGCAGGCTCATCCGTTGGTCGCCGTCGTTCATGTAGACTTCGCTTCCCTCAGTAATTCTCTCGACGCGATGGTAGTCAACGGACGAATAAACGAAGGATCTCTCTGTCCCTTTTGTAAGCAGAAGCCTTTGAGCGCATGGAACACTAGAGAATAGTGCTGTTCGGGCTGTCACTCCTTTTTTGAAAAGAAGATGGCTGTGGAATTTGAGGCTGTCGTGAAATGTTAAAGATCAGCCACCTTACCAGAAAATGGGTAAAACTGGGTGGTAGAAATT